CTTTCCGAAGTCAATGAAGCACAGATAGACATTCTTCTGGTATTCTTTGCTTTTTGCCAAGATTCATCTAACATTAGCTATAATATCCTTAGTAGCACAACCTCTTCTAAATCCAGCCTGTACATCTGGCAGTTTTCTGTTGACATATTGTTCCAAATGTTTTTGGACAATTTTCAGCAGAATGTTGCTTGCATATGATATTAATGATATTGTTCCACACTCTATTGATCATCTTTTTTTGGAATGGGAGCAAATATCGATCTTTTCCCGTCAGTTGGCCAGCTGGCTGTTCTCCAAATTTCTTGGCACAACTTAGTGAGCACCTCCAGGGCAGTGTCTGTCTGTTGAAATATGTCATTTGGTATGCCGTCAACTCCTGGAGCCTTGTTTTTTGCCTATTCCTTTAGAACAATTTGAACTTCCTCCTTCATCTTGCTCTTGCTCATATGTCATTTCATGAAATTCTTCTGTGTCAGCCAATTCCTTCTGATACCGTGACTCTGTGTATTCCTTCCATCTTTTCATGATACTTCCTGGATCATTTAACATTCTGCCCAAAGTATCCTTAAGTATTGCCACCCGTGGCTTGAATTTCTTTTTCAGCTCCTTCAGCTTAAGAAACACTGAGCGAGTTCGGCCCTTTTGATTTTCTGACTCCAGCTCTCTGCACATTTCATTATAGTATCTTGCTTTGTCCTCCTGGGCTGCCTTTTGAAATTTCTGTTTAGCTCTTTGATTTCTTGGTTTTTTCCTTTAGCTTTGGCTTCTCAGCGCTCTAATGCAATATTCAGTCTCATCTGACATCCATCTTGGTCTTTTCTTCTTTTTCAACCTTTGTAATGATCTTTTGCATTCTTCATGGACGATTTTCTTGATATCCTCCCAGAGCTCATTTGGCCTAGGCTCATTGGTGCTCAAGGCCTCAAACCTGTTCCTGAGATGGTTTTGAAATTCGAGTGGGATAGACTTAAGATCAAATTTTGGTTCCCGTGGACTTGATTTAATTTTCCTCAACTTCAACTTGAACTTGCATATGAGTAGTTGGTGGTCTGTCCCACAATCAGCACCCGACCTGGTTTTCACTGCTGATATTGAGCTTCTCCAGCGAGTCTTTCCACAAATGTAATCTATTTGATTCCTATGTGTGCCTCAGGTGAGTTCCATGTGTATAGCCTGCGTTTATGTTTCTTACAGAAGTTATTTGCAATGAATAAATCATTGAATGTGCAGAACTCTATCATTCTATCTCCAGCCTCATTTCTCTCACCGAGACCATATTTTCCAGCTACTGATCCTTCTTCCCTGTTCCCATTTTGCGTTCCAGTCGCCCATTATTATCAGTGCATCTTGATTGCATGTTTGATCAACTTCTGACTGCAAAGTTGGTAGAAATCTTCTATTTCCTATTTCCTCCTCTTTGGCTCTAGTTGTTGGTGCATATTATTTGAATGATAGTGGTATTCACTGGACTTCCTTGTATGTGTATGGATATTATCCTGTCGCTCACCACATTGTATTTCAGGATGGATCTAGAAATGACTATTTTAAATTATGAAACCAACCCCATTCTTTCTCACCTTTTCATCCCCAGCATAATAAATCGTCTGATTCAACATGTCCCATGCCAAGATAAATGGAGCACATAAATATTGACATACTAGGTATTGGAGAAATGAGATGGCTTGACATGGGACATTTTGAATCAAATGATAACATGATTAATTTATATTAATATTTTAAACCTTGAACCAAACTCTCATAAGCCTGTGTTAAAACTCAATAGATCATGATGTAATGACTTTTCAAGATATTATTGGATTTCATTTGCTAAACCTTTCTAAAGAATTTTTGCACCTGTGCTCCTGGAATACTGAAGTGTAGTTCTTGTAATGCATTTATTTGGTTTTAATGCTGGTTCCGTAGACTACATAGTAAAGTATGACCTTTTCAGTTTCTGTGAAGAGTTTGTGTAGGATTGGTAGTATTTCTTCTGCCATATTTTGAGCCCACTGTTACTAATTATGAAAAGACACAACCTTGACACACATGTTCCTTGACTTTAAGCCACTCATCTGCTTGTATCTGCTTGTTTTCTTCTAATGATTACCTATTTGTTCTAAATGAGCATAATTAAGTGGTCTAGAATTATATTATGCAGTGATATCCATAATTTGTTATGCACCACACAATCAAATGTTTTTGTATAAATTAGTGCTTTATGTTTTGTGAATAAATCACAAGTAAACTTTCTAGTATTCTGTGCTTTTAGCCAAGATCTACCTACCATCAGTAGTGGTACCCCCGATTCTATGTCCTTTGGCTGAATCTGACTTGAATTTTTGGCAGTTCCCTGTCTATACACTGGGCAGCTATTTTTAAATTATCTTCTGTAAAATTTTATTTGTGTTTGTTATTAATGGTCTTATTTGATTTTGCCCCTGTTTTACTGGATCATTTTTCTTTGGAATGGGTACAAATACTTTGGATAGGTATTTTTACCTATACTGAGTATTTTTGGATTCTTATAAATGTTTCTGAGTTTTGTTCTGGAACTTAACATCAGTCAGAAACAATTTGCCTTTTAAAGATTGTTTTTCAATATTGTTAGGCAGACCCAGCATAGCCTTTATAATTGAGCTTTAAAATTGAATTTATTAAAGTGGATTTTTATTCGACTTGTTATTGGTTTTCTTAACATTAAATATGTTTGTGTTTGGTAATTTTCATTTGCAACCTGAAGATTAGTGGAAGGTTACTGTAATATATCCTTTTCTCCCCTTTGTTCTTACACTAGCTGTCTTCACATACTGCAGTTGCCTCTACCCAGATTTCTGTCCTCTATTTGAGGGGCAGGCATATAAACGCAGTTTTGCTTCATATTAATATTGGCTCCCGTTTTTTTCTTCAGTGAGTAATTGATAGGTCCCTGTTATAATGAGGGAGCCTAGATGCCACTGCCAACTATTAGACTCAGAACTCAGCAGACTTTGGCATCAACCTCATTTATTAGTTTCTTTTGCTTTTCACATCCAAAAATATATTTCTATCTTTAAATCAAACTGTATCTCTTTTACACAACATTTTTAATATGTAATTTCTTTATTATATATTTTTTTCATCCATCCATTCTTACAGCAATCCATTAGTTCATCCTATTTTTCAATGCGCCTAAAAGTAAGTTGTATATCTACTTTACCATATGTATTTTAGCATTGCAAAGTATTGGGAATTCATTATTTATGGTTTTATTTTAAGTAATATTTACATAAATTGAAATGTACAAATCTTATTTTTTTTAAATGTACAAGTCTTAAATGTACCATCAGCTGAGTGTTAAAACATGTATACAGCTATGCAACTGAAACCTGTCCATCTGTACAGCTCAAACCTCTGTCAAGGGACAGAACGCTACTTTTACTGTAGAAAGTCCATGTGCCTTTTCCAGCTGATCCCTAGTCCTCCACACCCCCAAAAGTAACCACTGTTTTCATTATTTCTGCCATAGTTTATTTTTGCTTACTCTAAAATTTTATACACATGAAATCAGACAGTTTAGTCTTTTATGTAAGACTTCTTTTGCTCTAGTGATCAATGAGTTAAGCATGGAGTTGCCATCCCTGAGGCAGGTGGTTCAAATCCACCAGCAGCTCTGTGGGAGAAAAATGGGCAGTTCCCTTCTATGCAACTTACAGCTTCTGAAAACCTGCTATGATTTGGTTCCAGCTCAGTGAGTGAGTGAGTCTTTTGCACAGCCTGATCTTTCTGAGATTCATCCATGTTATTGGGTCAGTAGTTTTTTCCTTTTCATTGCTGAGTGTACTACTATTTCTTTGTAGAAATATATCACAGTTTGTTTATTCATTCCAGCAGCTGCTTTATTATATTTTTATCTATCATGTCTATATGTTTAGAGAGAGAGGGTACTATAAGAAAAATAAAATCTCTCTTAACTATGCTGTCTTAACTCAAATCCTAATTTAAATAGAGTTAATTGCGTTGGGAAATTCTGCTGTCAAAGACCTCTTCAAAGTACTAAAAGAACAACAGTGTCAGTCTGGAGACTAAGGTGCGCCTGATCCAGGCCATAGTCTTTACAAACACTTGTTATGCTTCCAAGAGCTAGACAGCGAGTAGGGATGATGGAAGGAAAATTGATGCCTGTGAGCTGTGATTCTGGAGAAGAGTTTTGAATATACCATGGACTGCTAAAGAGAACAAACAGGTTTTTCCTAGAGACAAACTAGGCTGCTCCTGGGAGGCAAGGATTCTGAAGCTTTGTATGATATACTTACTCTTTGGACATTTTGCAAGGAGGGACCAGTCCTTAAGGAGGGACATCATGTTTGGGAGGGTGGAGGGACAGTACAGGAGAGGAAGACTTGATGAGATGGATTGATTCAGATATTGGGGTAATGGGGGTAAGTGTGTCAGAGACAATAAGATTTGCACAGGACAGAGCAGGGTTTAAGGCTGTTGTACATGAGTCGCAGGCACCTCAATGGCACATATCAACATTCATTTTAGGTCAATTGGAATAAATTTAGCTGCTTTTTAATTTTATTAAGTCTCATTCTTCTAAGGCTGTTCAGCGTATGCTGTCAACATTTATATTTTCACATAAACTTAAAAGTAAAAAATGTAATACGTAAAAAATGAAGTATATTTGCTTTTCATATCTAAAAATGCAGTAATTGTTACTATGTTAAATAACTGTTACTGTTAAATACAGTTTCTTGATAATCATTCCTTGTTACCAACAATAATATTAACAGAACTCTTTGTTTTCATGACTCTGTTGCCTCAACCATCTGAACAATGCATTACAATTCTTGGGACCATCTATTCTACCTTAGTTCTAGATTAATTCTGTAATGTAATATAATCATAGGGGATAATTTAACCTCTTCCTGAAACTTCTATTATAAGGAATAATTAATGAAGTGCAACTTACTATACACATATGGCATTAACATTTTTTAAAAATTCTGTTTTATTTTTAGGTTTGGTTGGGATGTTCCAGTAATTTTGAGAAACTCAGAAGAGACTCAGGTCAGCACAAGAGTTTTCAAAAAGCAAATGAGACAAGTAAAAAATCCTTTTGGCTTAGAGATCACCAACCCATCTTCAGCTTCAATCACAAGTTAGTAGCTAATTATTTTCCATGGGTTTATCTCCTGTATGCCCTTTTATTAACCATTTTAGTTCCCCTTTCTTCATTAGGTTTTTATTTTTATTAATTTTTATTTTGTTGATAATATTTACAGTGGAATGTCCACCAATTATAGTTTCCACATGATCTCTTTCATGACACCATTTGTAGTCAAGATGTGCCACTTTAGGCACCTTCTTTTCCTGAGTTGTTCCTCCCCTTAAACATAAATTCATTGCACTGGAAAGTTCCTATCTAATTTTTTCAGTTCTTCTGAGAACTCATAGCTGACCCTGCTGCAGGATTTGAGAGGCAATTAATCAGATGGGAGGAGATTGCCCATCTTTCTCCTTCAGAGTAGCTGGTAGATTAATTCTGTATATAGATAGTTCTTAAAAGAGCAATGTTGATTCAGCAAAGTAGCAGGATACAATATCAACATACAAAAAGCAGTTGGATTTCTCTACAGTGACAAAGAGAATACAGAGCTGGAGCTAAGAAAAACAATACCCTTCACAATAGCTAATCACAAGATAAAATATTTGGGAGTAAATATAACTAGAAGCACATAAG